AGAACCCCTATATACTATAGTAGTTTCCAGGGCATTGTGGGAAATAGCAGCAGGACTCTGCATGTTGGATGGGATAGTCTAGAACGGAGATCTCGCCTTAGTGTCAGGTGGGATAGTCTAGCATGGGAGATCTTGTGCGTCAGCATGTCGCAGCTGCAAGCGCAGGTGATGTGCAACGACTTCTCTGTCGGAGTGCGTTACGAGGAGAGGGGTATGGGAAGCTTGTCCGCAACGAAGCAGGAATGGATTTGCAAGCCCCTGCCAGCCCGCTAGTGCGCCTTCTCCTGGATGTTGACATCATCTTGCCTTCTACTGAAACAAAATCAGGGGTATGAGCTTACGAGCTTTTTAAACGGTATCCCAAACCCTAAACCCTGAACCCCAAACCCTAAACCTTAAACTCAAACCCTGAACCCTAAACCCTAAACCCTAAACCCAGTCTCAGGTTTGCCGGAGGGAAGCCTCGGCACGGCACTTTCAGCGCTGCGCCTCCCGGAGTTGACACTGCACCGTCATGACGCCAAAGTTATTGCGTGCGAGTGACGGCGTGGCGCCTCACCACCTGATATCTGGGGCAGAAGCCAGGTAGGGATTCATCATGAATCCAAGTTAAGACCCCACAGTCTCTTATACGAGCATAGAGTGTGTTTATATATATATACTAGTTTATAATCCTCTAGTCTCTTGTGCTAGTATACACGAGGACTATCTTGTTTCGTAATATCCTACCTAGAACAGAAGCCATGTGCAGCATCCCAATCAGTTTCAAAGCCATGCTCGGATGAATGCGTCCGCGACAAAAAAGTATTGCAGGCAGCGGAGCCACCAATGATGCAGCGATGAGTGTGTGGTAGTTTCTAGAAGAAGGAGACACCAATGTAGGACCCCTACATATTATACTCTTAATGACAGGGACATTAAACGCTAAACCCCAAACCCTAAACCCTAGACCCCAAGCCCTAAACCCCTAAACCCCTGAACCTTTGTGACCCAAGCTTTACAGGCCGGCGACGGCTGCAACAATGGGAAGGTCGAACCCTCCTACTTTTGCGAGTATCAGGGACGGTGGGGAGCTCAGAGCATTCCTTTGCTATCAGAAGATGCTTTCAACAGGGCTGCTGTTCAGGAACTGAAGTTAGGTTAGCAGCTATGATGGTAATATAGTAAATACTAGACTTTCCTGCTTATCGTAACTTAATTTAAGTGCCTTGACAGGTTGAGAGCTGATAGTTGCGCTCTTTTGCTACAGGTTGAGAGCTGATAGTTGCAATAGCATGAGGTTTTGGGTATTTGGGGGTCCCAATAAACCGGATGATATTGTTTTTTTTCTCGGGGCCGCTCATTTTGAGAAACTACCATATGATATCCTGATCGCTGGAATCCTGCTGATGTGCATGGCAGCGTGACCTTTGTTCTGTGGCTCTAACCTAGACCCTGAGCCTGCTGGTGGAACCATCCTTCACTCACGATAATGACACATGCCAGCAATGAATATTTGTAACAACAAGAATGATGTTAATGATGGTAACAGTGATAGTTTTAAGAATAATGAGAATATTGGTAACAACGACCAGAATGAGAATAATGATGCGAATGTCGATCCCTAAATAGTAATGACAACTATGACAATACTCTGAACCGGGTGGTTGTCAAAATATTAGGTGCCGTATTATAATAGGGATCCAAAAAGGGACCATCATTTTGACAACCACCCTTATGGTCATCATTATGATTGTCAGTGATGTTGTCTCTATTCTGGAGCCAGGTTGGGCATTGAAACCGGCTGCGTTGGGGTGGTCGCTGCAGACACGAGTGCGGCATGCCTGTGCTGATGATGGCAGCATGCAACCACAGAATAATGAGGGGGTTTTAGATAACCTCAACCTCTTGAATAAGGACCCTTGAACTTTCAAGAGAAGTTCAGAAGAGCCAGTTGCTTCTTCGAATTCTTGACCACTTTGGCCCACTGTGCCCACGTGTTCCATTCTCCTGAATGCTCGCGTACATGTTTTACATGTGTAGCCTGTGCCAGATCTTTACATCACCTTCACTGCGGACAGCTGCAACGTTATCTGTGCCTATGCTGCAGTGATGACACAGCGCTTGTGCAAATGGCATGTTTTCTTTCTTCCAGGTGGCGATGGAATTCGGCACGTCGTAGCTGGCGAGGACGGGCGAAAGCTTCCTCAGCTTCGAAGAGACGTTAGTAGAGAATAAGTGAGATTGTATTATCTAGGGATCAAATATGGACTATGTCCCCCCCTATTACAGTAGGACATGTCTGCAGGAGTGCGACGATGGAAACGTAGTTGACGGAGATGGCTGCACCAGGCAGTCCAGCTGTGTTTGTAGAGTTTCGGTTTCGAGTTTTGGGCTGCGCCTCAGCTTCCCTGCTTAGGGTTTAGGGTTTAGGGTTTAGGGTTTAGGCCACAGTAAGCGTTGGTATTCGCTGTGCATGCGCGAGGATCGCAAAAGAGGCCCCTGGCATTATGTCTTCCTATCGGGCATTAGAGAACTACATGGACAACTAATCTTTACTTGGCTCATCTACCAAAAACCAGCGTTATACCTGGAAGCACAACAGAAAATATTGTAGTAGTTCCCATTTTCATTCCTTACTGTACATCCCTGTATATCACTATATTATATACCCCATGGTTCAACCACCAAAAAACTCGCTTGGGTATTTCTCAAAACCTATCTGATCCTCAATAAGGGGCCCCCAAATCCTTACACTCCATTTCACTTCCCTGGGTCCCCAGGGTACCCCTGTTTTGAGAAACTCCTTATCTCTGAACCTGAACCCTAAATATTTTCGGAGTTTCCATGTTCTTTTGCATCGCCACTCTGCATCCTTGATTTTCCCCATGTAGAGGAATATAGCGCCTATGTTCCCTAAATGTCCCTTATATACAACTATAGAACCCCTTTAAAGCAGAACTCTAAACCTCACTTTCCAGGGATTGTCGCATTGAACCTGGCTACGTCTGTCCTACGCAAGGGTGGCCGTCAGCCTGCGCCTGAGGTAGGGGCGTTTTCTATTGGTTTAGGGTTTATGGTAGGTACTTCTTGTGGTACCTATGATGAAGATTAACATATATTGGGGTCCAACCCGGTAAGAGTTGGAACCCTACGTAACACCTAAATGCTAGTTTCCATTTTCTTGTCCATTGTCCCAATATATAACCCCTATATATCCCCACACTTTGGAAACTACAAAAAAAGGAGCACTGCCACATTTGCAAACGAAGTTGGGTCGCCTGAGGTTCTGCTCACACCCTGCGTGGCTGTTTGTGGTGACGGCCTGCGAGTGGGTAACGAGGAAGCATGTACCTTGCTTACAGATGGTGAGTATGGAATACCGGAGTAAGAACCCTATATAGCCCCTGTATGATATATTCCTTTATTCCCTACTAACCCCCAGTACCCTTGCGTGCCTTCTCGGCTGGCTCTGGCGTTGAACTCAGCCCCTTAAACCCTAAACCCATACTCCTACACCCTAAACCCCTTGTACCTAAACCCTAAACCCCCTGATCCAGGAGTGTGATGACAACAACACGGAGTCTGGTGATGGCTGCAGCCCAACATGTGAGGCCGGGGGAGACTTTCCATACTTCTTGGTCGTTTCGTGTGCGAATGCGCATGGTTGGCGGGAGACATGGTAGTTTCCATGAATAGGGGGACCCCAACCTTAACCCCGAAACCTTCCATAAATCGGGGGAGTCACTGTAGGGCCCCCTAAATACTCCCGTCATGAATCTTTCTGGAAACGGAAGATGCCTTTCCAAAAGAAAGATTCTGTGGTTCTGGTGGGGGACCTGAAAAATCCATTTGCCAAGTTGGGATCATTCTCCCCCATATATCCCAATAACAACAGCACCTTTACAGAGACCCTAGCAGCTCTAGCATGCAGGGGCACCTAAACCCTAAACAACTCCTTCCTAGACCTCCCGAGTATCGTATAGGGATATAGAGGGGTAGTTGCGAGAAAGTACACTAAACCCTGAAACCCTAAACCCTAAAGTTTAAGGTTTAGGGTTACGCCCTTGTTTTTGACATGACCTGGCCAGGTGGAAATCGGCTGGTTCTGCAAGCGAGCTGGTTCTGGGCTTGGCTTCGAGGTGCGGGAGCCCCGCGCGTCAAGGGAAGCAAGATTTTGTAGGGATGTGTGGGGATCTAAAGGAACAAACTGAGATATGCTGGGATATGTTCGGATACATGGATATATGAGATATGGAGATATATAGGAAAACGGAGAATCCGATGAACAAATCCAACACGGAATGGAAACTGAGGTTATATGAGGATAATGGAAAAGAACATGGAAACCACTATAGTATCTTATATTGGGGTTATTGCGGAGGGTCTTGGGATGATGGGGAATCAGATGGAAAAGACAATAGGTTTTAGGGTTTATGGAGACTGGGGGTTTACATGCCTATTTAGGCTAGAAAGTTTTTTTTCTTACCGCAACGGGTCCCTTGCAAAAAGGGATATAGAGATTATGTATGACAGACAGAGTTTGGGGTGGGCTTCCATATGAGGAAGCCATGTAATTAGCGAAATGTGCCCAGATCATGGGAACCCTAAATCCCAAACCGTAGTTTAAGGTATGTTCCTTGACCGCAACCCAGGTGTCCTGGAACTTGGGTATAGGGTTTCCCGAAGAACTTAAGAGGTAAAGGGATACTCTGTGTTATTTGGTGGGGTTTACAGATCGGGTTTAGGGTTTCCAGTTTTGTGGCACTTTGGTCTACTTACTGTTGCTTCGGGGGGAGTGGGGGAGTGGATCCATAGAAGAATCCATAGATCTATATGCAGAAACCCTAAACCCCAAGCCCCTGAGACCATAAACAGTAAACCTTATATACAGAAATCCATCCTCTAAACCCTAAACCCTAAATAGTACCTCTATTCACTCTTGCCTCCTCTCTGCAGCAGCTGTTTTTTTTTCAACAGTTGGGGTCCCTGTATTGGAGGCCCTTATTATGACGATCATCGAGCTGTGAGGAATGAAGTAAGTAGCCCTGTTTACATTCGGGTCTGACTATGTCTGACGTGTTTCATTGGTGCAGGTGAATAGATTTATATGGGGATACTATGGTACCCAATACCCATTGAACATTTCCAACTGTGCGACGGTGAGATCTGTCACCGCGAAACCCATCTCTTTTTGGATTCACTTGAATGCAGCTGGCATCAAAACTCATGTGTCTCCCCCTAAATCCACCAAGCGTCAATTTGTGTGCCAACACAAATTCTTCTTATCTGTCCTGCGCTCCATTGGACAGCACTTGGAAGCCTCTGATTCTAGAAATCTTCCCCATTTGCCTGAGGTATGCTGGTCTGAAGACATCCCAGTATGCTCGTCTTGTTCTGTCTTGCTCAATTTTGTCCAATCTCCGGACAAAATACACCGACCACGCCACCAGGCCCAACTTCATCCTAGAAGCGTACCGCTTGAAAAGCGTGACTCTTATCAAAAGATCATTGCTTATCTTTCTACCATTATCGCCCGCCTTTGGTTACTCTAAATTATTCACTATTGGAGGAGCCAAAGTGCTCAGCGCCTGATTCGCATGACTGACTGACGTCCGTGAATACTAGGGTACATAATATAGAGCAAGATTATATCCTCCTTTTGGGTATAGTATTTTTATATAAGGAATATAATCTTACTAGGTTCAACCACCAAAAAAACACTACTCAGGTCTAGGGTTTAGGGAAATGCTCCTGGCGTTCTGTTGCCTTTGCGCGTTGCAACAGGTGTGTTTGCAGACTTGCCTGAACGGCATCATCGACCCTGGAGAAGACTGTGATGATGCAAACACGGCCCCTTGTGCGCAAGGAAGGACAGTTTGAGCCTCTTCAGGTGTGCTATAGTCTGAACTCCTTAACGGGCTTTAATAGGGGATTATATAGGGTAGTATTATAGGGGTTATGAAGGGGGATATTATTACGCAGGTCAACTCATTTGCAGCTTTTCGCCTCTAGACCCTACTTGGAGGGTCAGGGGGACTTAGTAAGTAGATTCATCACCCTTGCAACCCATATAACAACCCAAGTTATCCCCCTTATTAACCCACTTGCCAAGTCCCCCTGACCTTCCAAGTAAGAGCGTAAATCCACTGCCTGGCATCCGAGTTCAAGAATGACGGGTGTGCCAACTGCATCATCGAGCAGGGATGGAGATGCTTGGGCCCTGGCAAATCTCAACAGATACTGATGGTTAGTATAGGGAATCATATAGACATATTGGGGTTATATAGGGGTAATGGAAAAGAAAATGGCAGCTACCACATTATAAGTGTAGATGTGCTCAAGGAATGAGTTTTGACCAGGTTGGGCATTATTGGTGCTATTCTTTCCAGATTGTAGATGCTAGAGTCTGACGGACTCCAAGCCTGGGGCAAGATGCCAACTTCTCACACAGTTGCCCCGCAGAGCTCTGCCGAGTCAGGTGAGCCAATCATGAATCGACTCTCGCGGACGTCCTCGGGCAGTCACTGTGTGCCCATCTGCGGAGATGGATTTCGCATTGAGCTACTTGACAGCACTCGAAAAGCTGAATGTCTTGGCACCAAGCCTCTGACCGGCCTTACGCTTACCAGTAAGGGGAGTTGGGGATGGAATGAAGCGACCTCGTAGCGGGCTGTATGAGCTATAGTGGAGACTCCTTAAAGGGGGTCATATAGGGGCTTTTAGTGGGAAGTATCGTAGGGGTTATTAGTTAAGGGGAATACCGGTGGTTTAGACGATAGCTCATATAGGCATGATGATAGGGGTTTAGTCTAAGCTCTCCCTTAAGCACCAGAAATCAACCTGAGTAATCTTTTATTTGGGGATACTATGGTATCCGATAAAGAGTAAGATTATATCCTCCTTCTGAGGTATAGTATTTCACATAAGGAATATAATCTTACTAGGTTCAACCACCAAAAAACCATTATTTAATATAACCCCAATATACCCCCAATATAGTCCTATCATAATATAGTAGCTTCCATTTTCTTTTCCATTATCCCTATATAACCCCTATAATCTTACTAGGTTCAACCACCAAAAAACCCTAAACCCTAAACCCTAAACCCCAAACCCCAAACCCTAGGTTCAACCACCAAAAAAGATTCTACTCACCTGGCAGGCAGGGGCCTGCGACGGAGGCCTGTGATGATGGGAACATCTTGGCGGTGGCCTCAAGCCAGCCCAGGCAATCAAAGGCGTAGGGTTTAGGGTTTAGGGTTTAGGGTTTAGGGTTTAGAGTAGGAATCGCGAATCCCATGACCAAAACAGTGGACCATGAAATGGAAGCTGGGATTATATAATGGCTTGTAAGGTTTTGAATATAGAAGCCTGCAGAAGCAGTAGCATTCTTCTCCGATCCTCCCTAATTACCATAGAAGAATGTACTTCACAGCTCTATCCCTCTATCCTACTTCTTTAGGCCCTTCATTGCTGTTTTATTCTTGCCCTGAGGCCGGTGACGGGTGCGACCCCAGCTGTCAAGTGGAGCTGGGGTGGCGCACGAAGGTGCAGGCAAGGAAGAAGATAAGCAGACCAACCCTAAACCCTAAACCCTGGGTTCCCTTGAATGTACTGCGTGGGGTGGTCCTGCGGAATATGTTAGGAGGACCCCCCCACCCTGTAATAGTGGTATAAGAGGAATATTCGAGGACCCTAATATCATCCTTATTATCCCTTATAGCCACTATTACAGGGTGAGGGGTCCACCTAAGGAATATGTCCTATGATGTTCATGTTGTGTTAGCATGCTTATCTTGGTTGGTGGGATCGGGCCTTGCCAGACCAATTCCACAAAGCTCTTGCTGGAGACCATCTGTGGCGATGGCCTTGTCGTTGGCAGTGAGGGCTGCGATGACGCCAATCTGGACACCGTTGCGGGGTTGCGAGATGTGGTAGTTACTCCTGGTAGTTTCCATGAATAGTGGGAGCCCCACACAGACCCCAGTATATAGTCATTCCCCAAAGAGGTACCCCTGACTTTGGGAAACCCTATACCCTATATCCTATATATCCCTACATAATTCGGTTAACAGTCCCTGACTTTGGGAAACCCTATACTCTATATCCTAGATATCCCTACATAATTCGTTTAATGGTACCCCATGTGGTGATGTTGGCTCGCAGAATGCGACGCCCCTAAACCCTAAACCCTAAACCCTAGACCCTAAACCCTAAACCCTAAACTGCTGAACCTGCCAGCCAGGAGGGAGGTGATGGCTGCAGCGGCTCTTGCACAGTGGCCGGGGCCTGAGACTTGAGGCTTCCTGACGAGGTTTAGGGTTTAGGGTTTATTTGGGGTTTAGGGTTTAGGGTTTATTTGGGGTTTAGGGTTTAGGGTTTATTTAGGGTTTAGGGCTTAGGGTTTATTGTGGGTTTAGGGTTTAGGGTCAAGGGCCATTCATGGAAACCTAATCACTAGGGTCCAGGGGATTGCGGTTGATTGCTGTTTGCATGACTGGCGCCGAACGAAGAAGGACCTCCCCTTTTCAAGGCCTGAACCCTATACAGTTTCTAGAAATCATAGACCCTGAACCTGAAAGCTACACAACCTATATAATCCCTATATATAAGCCCCATACAATCCCTATCAAAAGCCCACTAAACCACAAAACCCTAAAATCCAAACCCTAAACCCTTAACCCCGAACCCTAAACCCCAAAACCCCCAAACCCTAAACCCCAAACCCCAAACCCCAAACCCGAAACCCTATTGTGAACCACGCGTGGGGAGTTTGAGGAGCTTGGCTTTGCGTGCACCCCCGAAGATGCCAACACCAAACCGGAGGCCGGGCCAGGTAAAGGCCCTTTTCAGGGTTTACTAGGGAGTAGGAGATTAGGGTTTAGGGTTTAAGGGTTTATAGTCTAAGGGTTTAGGGTTTAAGGGTTTATAGTCTAAGGGTTTAGGCTTTAAGGGTTTATAGTCTAAGGGTTTAGGGTTGAGGGGTTTGGGCTTTAGAGTTAGCATGGAAGCAGTGATGATTAGGTTTGAACCACCCTTCCAGTGCATGGCTGCATGTGAAGTGCTGCCATGGCCCGACTGTGGCTGGCCATCTAACACATTCGCCCACGCCACGCCGTCTGAGGCGGCCAATCCATCCAAACCTGCTCTTTCTAGGGTTCAGGACCTAAACTCAGTTAGGTCCATCCTGGTCAACAACATAACTATCTTTACAGTCAGTATTCCTTTGCATCTATGCTGCTGAGAGATTTCTTTGAGGGAGGCCTGTGAGGCCCTTCCAGGCCCCTGGGTCTCAGGGCCCTTCTGGAATGCAGGGGGTGGACCAGGACCCGCCCAGGAGGGAGGGTCCGGGTTTGCGGTGATGAGCTATTTGACCAGCAGTATTGATTGACGGTTGTAAGGAGATCTCCTTCTAGTTCTGGGCCTGACGTGGGTGCTACCGCGTTTGTGGCAGGGACCAGCTAGGTCGACCTGCGCCAGCAAGATCCAGGGGCTTAGGCGCCGCCCAGCTTCGTGGCTGCGCGGCCTATGCCTTGAGTTTAGTGCATGGGATTCAGGGTTCAGGGTTTAGGGGATAGGGTTTAGGATTTTAGAGAATAGTGGAGAATCCAACGGAAAAAACCATGGGAAAGCAAATGGAAACTGGTTGTATAAAAGGTTTTGAGGGCAAGTGTTGCATTGAGCCATGACCCTATAGCGGTTACATTCTTTTTGCTTTCCTTGATTCCTTCCTAACAGCAGGCAAGTCAAGCCTAAACCCCTATATCCTATCCCCTTATACATCTCTTATCTATCCGCTTTTACCTCTATCCATCCTCCTTAAAACCCCCCAAATACCTTTCTAGCCGTACATACAAGTCTATCTGGTAGTTTCCCAAAATAAGGGGACCCCAATATAGACCCCAAAACACTACAATCCTTATTGCGGGGATCCCGAAAAAGGTACCCCGAATTTTGGGAAACCTAAGCCTAAACCCTACACTTCTATAACCCCTATATGGCCTTTTTAAGGGTACCCCGAATTTTTGGAAAGCCCCCATATATTGCCTACAGAAAGCTCCCATGTGTAGGCGGCCTCCGGATTGCCGCTTGCAGCTCAGAACAGGCACCTTGCAATGTTGGGGTTACGTGGGGTTTGGGGTGTAGGGTTTGGGGTTTAGGGATAGGGATTATATAGGGATTATATAAGGATTGTATAGGGATCATATTGGGATATAGGAACTTTACACGGACTATATTGGAATTTTTTTGGGGTTATTATCTAGGGGAGGTATAGGGGTATTTAAGGAGTTCGTAAGGATTGCAAAGGGAAAATGTGGTCGTATACGGATTAAAAAGCTGGAGACAAAATCAAGGGCGCCCTTTGTAGCAGTCTTCTCGGGCACGTCTTTGTGATACCGGTTATCGTATATTGAGGTTTATGTTGGAGCTCCTTATTTCTGGAACCAACCGCATAATCTCAATTTCCATTTTATTTTCCATTTCTTGTCCATTGGATTCTCCATTTTCTAGTCCCCATTTAACGAAGCGCAACCTCACATAGAAACATAAGCCCTACATAATCCCTATGTACTGTCTTTCTGACCCCTGTATTGTCCCTACATAACGCCTACATAGCCCTTGTATAATCCCTGTATAATCTTTACCCAATCCCTAGATACTCCCTATTTAATCCCTAAACAGCCCTATAAAGTCCCTGTATAAACCGTACACAATCCTCATATAATCCCGATCTGGGGCAGCCCACGCATGGTTTTGTTCTTGAAGGAGTGTTTGTGTGCCAATCTGTGGCGACGGGCTCGTTCTGGCCAGTAATGGCGAACAATGCGACGCAAGGAGCTCAGCTGTGA